GTATTCTTCTATTGGTGCAACCTATACTATGCAGTCTCATTAAACAGATGTTTGAATGGCAAGTTTCAATTTAAAGCTTGAATGGGTTTCAATTATACTGGATTCCCAGTTCTGACTTTGAATGTATTTGTGTTTGATTGTTGATAGTTTTTATGCCACAATGACAGGTTAAAAAAAACACGAAAAGGTCACTGAACAAAATGACAGAATTATTTAAAGTAGTTAAGAAAACTAGTGAAGAAATAAACAAGCAAACAAACAGAAATTGTCAGATGAAAGATTGTGTGATCTTGTGGTTATAAAGAAAATGGTAAAGGTTCCCCTCGCACATATGTGCTAGTCGTCCCGACTCTAGGGGACGATGCTCATCTCCATTTCTAAGCCAAAGAGTCAGCGCTGTCTGAAGATGTCCCTGTGGCCATGTGGCCAGCATGACTAAATGCCGAAGGTGCATGGAACACTGTTACCTTCCCACCAAAGGTAGTTCCTATTTTTCTACTTGCAATTTTACATGCTTTCAACCTTTCAAAGGTTGACAGAAGCTGGGACAAATAACGGGAGCTCACTCTGTTACGCAGCACTAGGGATTCCAACCACCGAACTGCCAACTTTTCTGATCAACAAGCTCAGCCACCACATCCCTTCTTGTGGTTATAGTGTTGTGTTAAGATTGAGAAGCCTTAAGTTAAAATTCTAACACAATTATGAAGCATATTGGGATATCTTGGAGTATTTCCTGGACTGATTAAAAGATATCATTAAGTTCAGCATCATGTGAATGAGATGCAAGCAAGTTTGAGACTCAAGTGCTCCCCTTTTCTTCCCTAGCATGGTCATTGTTAGCTGTGACTAAGTCAGGATAATAAACCATGATTTCCACCTAATCCTCCTAAAACAAGCCAGAATTTCCTACCTCTGGGTTTAATAGGAAGATTTGGTTATTTGAACATCCAAACAAAATACATATACACAAATTCATGACACCATTTTCACTTCCAAATCTATCAGAAAGAACTTTGAATGCATTCACAGTCATTTTCACTGGTACTGATCTTGAAATTTGGGGCTCAAGAAGCAAAGATTGGCTAAAAGGAGAAGAAGTGCCCTACCCAGTTGTCACAAGTTCTAGAATAAAAAACAAAGTCCTCATTTGCATTCCATAGAAGATGAAATGCATTCACCTATCTCTTTTTTTCATGTTTTGAGTGACTACTTGATTTTATGAAAAACCATCGGGATGATTGAACATAAAATCATCAAGCCGGTTCTGATCAGTTCCGGAAAACCAGTAGTGGAAATTTTGAGTAGTTTGAACAACCGATAAATACCAACTCTGACTGGCCCCGCCCCCATCTATTCTTTGCTTCCTGAGTCCCAGCTGATTGGGAGGAAATGGGAATTTTGCAGTAACCTTCCCTTGGAGTGCGAACGGAAGTGGGATGGAAATGGAGATTTTACAGTATTCTTACCCTGCCATGCCCACCAAGCCATGCCATGCCACGCCCACCAAGCCATACCCTTACAAGCTCCAACAAGTAGCAGCGTTTCAGAACATTTTTGAGGAGAAAGTGCTAGCTTCTCTTCATTTTTAGCTAACTCAGAGTACAGCCAGAATAACAGAATAACAGAGTTGGACCTGGGACCAGTAGTGGGTTCCTACCAGTTCGGATCGTTTCAGCTGAACTGGTAGTGGTTTGGCGGCCTGGGTCACTGGAACTGGCAGCAACTAAGCCTGCCACACCCCTAAATTGGTTCCCTGATTGGCGCCATTGGCGCCGCCATTTTATTTTTCAGTTCTGCGCATGCACAGAACCATTTTTATTGCACTGTACATGCATGTGCAGCCTGCATCAATTGTGAACCCACTAAGAGCGCGCACACTGAGTGAACCAGCAGTAATGCCAGCCAGAATCCACCCCTGCCTGGGACCGTGGAGATCTTCTAGTCCAACCTCCTACTCAGGCAGGAAATCCTTGACCGTATCATAAATAAATCAGTTTTAGTTTTAACATGGATTATAATGTCATATCTAATAAGAACGCTGATGATAGCCATCAGAAATTGAATGCTAATGCATGTATACTATATGGGGTGCACAATGGCCTTACTTGATTCTTTTCACTCCTGCTCTTGGTGCCAAAAATCCATTGATCAGCTTTTTCCAGAGTTATCTTTTCCTAATCAATGTCTATGGAGATTCTCAATCATCCAGATCATGGTTATCCCAAAGGTGTTTTTTCCAAAAGGAAAAACTGGACTTTCTTGGGTTCTTCTTTTCGTTTGAAAACATTTCGCTTCTCATCCAAGAAGCGTTTTCAGTTTACTTTCTTCATCAATGCTCATACAGACCTTTATCTAGGAACTTCTGAAAATCTTTTCTCTTGATTTACCCAAAAGAACCAGGGCAGGATTCTTGATGATATCTTCTCTATCTGCTTTTGTCATTTTGTTGGTGACATAATCCAAACTATCTGATCCACTCTTTCCATTGACCTGCATATTTCCCATTACTGCCAAAGTGTATATCATTGAATTTTGAATCATTGAATCTACCACCAGACTCACTCTAAGGCCATCCCACAGTTGCCTTGACAAGTCTGTCTTCTTTAACACATGCAGAATAATGCCAGTTTCTATCTGAGATACTGCACTGGATGAAGGTCTTCAATTAATATTGAATTTTCTAATCTTCTGTTTGAAAGTTCTTCACCATTGCCATCTGACTTCTTCTGCACCAAGACATAGTTTGCATCTGTAAGTGGTTCCCACAATTGGGACCGACAAATTAGTCATTGAGTAAAATGGTCACTAGGTAAAACCTGTATTAACTTGCTGGAGATCTGTTTTCACAGCTCAGCAATGTCCTTACTCTCTCCACTTTTTCTATTAAAACAATTTTTAGTAAAGAATTTTATGGAATAATAAAAGCAAACATTCAGATTTAAAGAGAAGAAAAAGAATAATAAAAAATACGGAACAAGTGAATAAACAGAAAAGGTAAATCTACATTTTCATTGCATGGAAAAGTGTGCAGGTACATTCCACCTTGCTAGTTGATAGGATAGTAAGTCTGATAATTGCCTCTTCAATATCCAATTATGCATGAACTCATATTGAGAATATTGTTGAAAAAAATGATAGCTCTAATTTATGCTACTCACTTAAAAGAGTTACAGTTGCAACATTAATAAATTTGTCACAGCAATATCTAGAATTGCTGCAGGTCACTTACATTCAATATTAGAAAAAGTGCTTGGTATTCAGTACATAAAGTGAAAATAAGATTTTAAAGATATTGTGTCCATAAGTTAGAGGCAGGGTTGGTGGTTTCAGCAATGATCAGAAGTGTAGAAGTGTCCGATAGCAACTTTACCTGAAGGGATTGATGTGATCTATAAATGACTCTTGGTCTCTATAAATATATTAACAGATGTGCTTCACAACCATTTATGGTTCAAAAGTTTTATTTCTTTTAAAACAAACATTTCATCATTCCTCAATCAGTAAGACATCGGAGTACAATTTTTTTTGTGTCAAAATAGTTCTAGTTTACCACCAAATTCTTGTCTAGCCTAATGTATACCCCACCCTCCCTCCACCCTCCCCCCCAACCCCCCCCCCCTCCCCCCCCGACTTCCCAGAACCCGTACACGGTATGGATTTTTAACAAACACAGTCTAAAATCTATTGAGAAAAAAGAAATAAAGAAATTAATGACATCTCTACATTGATCTTAGCTTCTTCTTGCTTAATTAACTTTAAACAATTTAAATCATTTCTGATCTTAAGCATAGGCTAACTGGAATTTCTTGGTCCCGTATTTATTTTGTATATAGTCAATCCATTTTTTCCAGTCTCGTTTATATCTCTCATTTGAGTGATCTTTAAGATATGCCAATATTTTAGCCATCTCGGCTAAGTTTGTAACTTTCAATGTCCATTCTTGAGTTGTAGGCAGGTCTTCCTTCTTCCAGTATTGTGCGAGCAACAGTCTTGCTGCCATTATTAGGTGCAGAATCAAGTTAGTCTCTACCACTGTAAAGTCAGTACATATACCTAATAACTGAGGAGTGAACTTTATCCTTCTTTTAAAGATATTTTGCATAATCCACCATATTTTTATCCAGAATGCCTTAACCTTTTGGCAGGTCCATCATATATGATAATATGTAGCATCGAGAGAACCACACCTCCAACATTTAGGCTGTACATTCGGATACATAGAAGCCAGCTTTTTAGGATCTAAATGCCATCTATAGAACATCTTATAAAAATTTTCTCTCAGGTTTTGAGCTTGTGTGAATTTCACATTTGTTACCCATATTCTTTCCCATGTATCCAGCATTATTGGTTCTTCAATATTTTGAGCCCACTTTATCATACAATCTTTAACTAATTCTGTTTCCGAATCCATCTGCATTAATACATTATATATCCTCTTTATATGCATTAAGTTTTGATCTCTTATTTGTTTAAACAAATTATCTTCAGCTTGGATAAAACCAACCATTTAGAAAGCAAAGTGAGTCTTCCACTGATCAGTTGACTGTGTCACTGGATACTCTTCATTGAGGCAGGACCGATTTATTCCATTTGTGATAATTAGCACAATCCATTTTGGCACATTTTCACTGTTTTGCCAGTGGTGGGCTTCTGCCGGTTAGGACCGGTTCAGACAAGCCAATAGTTGCAACCTGCAGGGGGGGGGGTGTCAGCCCACCCATCTGGTTGCAATCCCGTCCTATATCGCTGTGTTATTGATACTGTACACATGTGCAGAAGGCGTGCATCAGCAAATTGCCATGTTTTTTTTACCCCCGCACGCATGCGCGGAAGGCACACGGACACATTTCCAGTGCTGGGTGAACTGGTTGTTACAGTATGTGATGCCCGCCTCTGTATTTTGCTGAATGGAATCTCCTGCATCTTTATTGTTCAAAGGAATCAGTTCACTCCTGACTTTTCTGCAGATCCTTAATGTGTGGTCCTTCTGTCTTCAGCCCTCAATACAGGGAAATACGAGACACTACAAAAAGAGAAGGAGGAGATGGAAAAGAAGTTTGAAGGAACTGTGCAGAAACTCACTTGGCAACAACAGGAGGAGCTCCTGGCACTTGAAGAACGTTTGCAGTTACAGTACAACGCTGAACTAGCACATGTGCATGAGAACCATCAGGTCAACCTTGAGAGACTCAAGAGTCAGCATCAGGAACAGGTTAGTCACTCAGTGTAAGCTCACATGGGAGTAACTATACTCCATGATTTGACAGGCAGGCTGTATTTCCATACATTGCAGCTAAAACTCTTTTTTTAATCACAGCGCCATATATGTGTTTGAAATAGGTACTGTTGGTTGGAGGATTTAATATGTTATGGATGATGGGCATTTCATGTTTTAAACCGGATCATAGCAGAGCCTTTGGGAGGGGCGTTTCCTGATTAGACCAAGCTATGTGATTGTGTGTGTATCAAGGCTGTTTGGCGGTTTGGGAAGGAATCATGAGTAGTGCCCAAAGCATATTTCCTTATTATGGATTATGGTTTGAAGAACTAATCCTGGTAAATTGGAGCCAGCAGCAGGGGCAGCTGGATTGTTAAATTGATGGGTGCATGGATTGGTTTAGAAATATAATCAGTCAAAAGATTCATAGATGTCATCCATGAACAGGCTAGTTGAAAGGTGGGTTGGAAGAAAATCTGTTGGTCAAGTTTTGACTCCTCAAACAATTGCTTTTCTCACTGTTAAGAGGAACTTGCTGGGAAAAAAAATGTGTTTCAGGTATTAAAAAAACCTCTACTGGATTACATCTATCAAGTGCAGTTTTCATAAGATCTAACTGTTCTTTTTCTTTAAAGTTCTTTTAAAAATACCATAGCGAGTTTACTTCTTCTTAGATTTGTTTTTTGTTATTTGAAAAGGTGGATGACATTGCAGCCACTCAGGAAATGGCAGTATTAGAGATGGAAAATAGCCACGCGATTGCCATTGCAGAACTTCAGGAAGAATATGAGCACAAAATTCAAGGTAATTCTGCTAACTCAGCAAGCACTCATTCTACCATTTTAGATGGTGATCCCTGACCAATCAATTTGAGTTTGTGGGATGCCTTCCTCAGAAAAGTTCAGGAAATTATATGATACTATACAAATTTGCAAGTGTCAAGCTATAATTCAGTTATTTTATTTTAATCTCAAGTGCCAGATTAAAATCGGGCTATAGTGTCAGTCTAATGCAGTGGTTCCCGAACTTGGCAACTTTAAGATTTGTGGACTTCAACTCCCAGAATTCTCCAGCCAGCTCTGCTGGCTGGAGCATT